AATAACATTAAACGAAAAAAGAAAAGAAAAACGGAGGAAATTGGTTCAAAAGATAATAATAGTTCGCCCGAGAAATTATAACAGAAAAAAAAAGTTCCATCCTCTATGTTTGCGCAAAATGTTTGTCTCCATATTATGTCTACAAGTGAAATTTCAGTTCTAAAAATCTGGACTTTTCTCCTTACAAATCGATTTTCCGTGTCCGTTCAGTGAAACGTGAATTTTAATCACCCGCGTTGGTCTTTGTAATCATTTTCTTGAATATCTTGTACATAGATCTTCAAGGCATTATAATCCCCTTTTACTGGTAAATCATTTTGCTCACTAAATAGGTAATTGTTTCTTATTTTACCATGTACTATATCTTTTCAGAAATTTGGAGATCATGGCTCTCCACAATTTCCTATCTACTGCTGCTCTAAAAAACTTTTGAGCTTTTATCTTCCTTTTCGTTAATGTTGTAATTGTATATATCTAAAAGAAGATTTTGATGACGGACTGTCTAATATCGAATGGACTTTTTGTAATTTGAGTTCAAATGTCATTTTTATCGTTGACATTAATGACACAGATGCTATTCTGAAGATGGTTTTACATGGGGTGAATTCAAGGCTGATGATGATACTCCTGACGTAGAAAAAGAGTGTTGTGGTAAAAACTGTCGTCAGAGTTCCTAGTATAATTTACTAATGTTCACCCGATACAAGGTCCAAGAGCCACTCAATGTAGAGCGTTACTGAAGGATGTTGTATGAGCGACAACAGTAAGAGGAAAGCGGCACAGTTTTTAATAATGATTAAAACAAGATTTGAAAAGTTTAAGATTGTAATGGTTGGGAAAGCATCCTCTTGGGAGTCGGTTCCTCAAAGTAGAGGTCTGTGGGAAAAAGCTGTTTGAGTGAAACTTCGCTCTTACTAATGGAACACGAAGGGAATGAGGGTGGTTCGCCTCAGTGTATGGCGGAGGTTAGCTGTCAAGGTCGGGGTTGATGGAACGACGATGAATAAAAACAAAACATCATCCTCTGGTATAGGTAGAAAAGAAGAAAGAATATGTGGAGTTATTCTATATAAGTGAAAACAAATTCTAAATGAGCAAGAATTGGTTGTCTGAATTTCATTCTTAATAAAATCCGGCGTACAGGTGCAGGTAACTTTTATCAGTAGGGAGAATGGAAATTCGGTATGCCGGGTTTGAATTCCGGACAAGTCGATTATGTTCACTTTCACATTAATGACCTTAGGAAAGACATGATTCCTTCGCTTCTCCTCTTACGGGTTAAATAGTTATATAAACAGAGCTTTCTAGCCTTAGCTGGCAGCCAGTCTAGGAGAAAGACGATTTCGAATTACAAATCGTAAAGAAGACAACAGAAAACCATTCTACCATCTTTCCAAAGAAGTCAAGACAATTCACAGATAATAAAGCAAAACGAGACTGTGGAGTGCCATTTACAGCTACGTCCCTCAGGAAAAATGGCATCTATTTAATGGATAGTCATTACGTCTTCCTTCATTAAAATTTAGTTTATTAAAATATTACTTATTTCTTTCTTATCAAGTTAATATTTAATTCGGGTTTTTCTTCTGTGTCGTGTCACTTCAGAGCGTGGTTGATCATGGCTCTCCATGATTTCCTATCTTTTGTAGCTCTTAGTAAGGTTTGTCTTTTCGCCACCTCTCCCAGTCCCTGTTCAGCCATCTATTTACCCAATTTCCTCCGTCACTATAGCCTTGAATATGTCCTGTGAGTGTCAATTTCTCCAAGCCTCCTTTCCTCATTATGTGCCCTATAAATTTCAGCTGTCTCTTTCGGATTCTAAGCATCATTTTCGTTTCCATTTTCCTTAAAATTTTCTCGTTATTCATGCATTCAGTCCATGGTATTCTCAGTATCCTTCTGTAGAAGCACAATTCTATCGCCTCAAGTATCAAATAAAATAAATATTATTTTATTAAAACTATTACCTATTTTAAATGAAGATATTTTCTCAGTGACTTTTTCCTGTCCACAAGAAAAATAAAAATAAAGCATGACTTACACATTATTCTAGAGAATTCCTTCAATCAAATTTGACACCAAATATTTTTCCCCCGAAATCTATTCAGAGTAAATGACACATGTAAATCCCGCTTTGCCACAAACAAATTTTATAAACGAAACATAGACTAATGTCCATAGGTTAATGATAAGAAGCAATTGGAATTAAAATGAAAGAAGTAAAACAAAAATAACTAATAATCAATGCAAAGGCTTCAACTAATAAAAATTAAAGATAATGTTACTGATGGCTGACAGTCTGAGTAATTGGAATGAAAAGCAACTAAAAAATGAAAGAAAAGTCAAGTCAAAAATTAAAGATCAAAATCCTTCTCTTTGATTACGTTTAAAAATGTTTCACCTAAAAAAAAATCAAGATCTACAAGATTTTTTCTAAAAATTTAAAAAAGAAATTGTGTAGAATTCAATTTTATTCCCATTCCAAAGTTAAATTAAAATGATTGAATTTTACATGAATTCATAGTTTTTACAATCTTTCTATTCATCTATTTTGTTGTTATCGTAAAGGTTCAGTCATTGAACTATTCATAGATAATGTCCTTGTAGGTGAAAGGGTTGGTCCATGAATTTGGTGACATAGTGGCTGTGAGTTCAATCATTGGGGTGGGCAGTGCGTATTTGCTATAAGTAGAAAGAGGCAAGTAATAACTGAAAAATACTAAATAAAAATAAGAAAGAGAAAAGATATCGAGAGACATGAGAAATGGAACGAGAAAAGTTTAAAGACGTAGATTAAATAAAAGGTTAAATTCAGAATTCCCTGTGTATTACCCAGATTGACATACACCATAGGAATGCCAGGTGGGCACAGCAGCCGAGATATTGAGATGACAACAAAGATGATGACAATAGATCGAATACAAATAGTATAAATAATAACATCTCCTTATTTCAGAGGTTCAGAAGGAAATTGTTTAAAATTCATAAATGCAATGTGCATACTAAGGAGAATATTCTTTGCAGAATCCATAAATGAGGAATATAATCCATATACAAATAGTGTAAATAATGATATCTCCTCATCTAAGACATTCAGGAGGAAATTGTTCAAAATTCATAAATACAATGTGCATACTAATGCAAAAAACTTCTAAGCAGATTCCCTAAGTTAAGGACTATAGTACAAATTCAAAAACTGTAAATAATTGTACCTCCTTATTTCAAAGATTCAGAAGGAATTTTTTTTTAATTCATAAATCCAATGTGCATACTAAGGAAAATATTTCTAAGCAGAATTTCTCAGTTGAGGTCAATATTCCAAATACAAATAGTTTAAATAATGCTACCTCTTGATCTCAAAGATTCAGAAGGAAATTGTTTAAAATTAATAAATGCAACGTGCATACTGTGTAAAATACTTTTTTGTTGAATCCCTATAATGAGAACAATAATCCTAATACAAATACTGTAAATAATGCTTCATCCTCATCCCAGAAGTTTAAGCAAAATTTTCAAACTCTTCAAACACCGGATGCAGGTACAATTTTATTTAATACATTTTTTTAGTAATTCTGAAAAATTGAAAATGATCCTAACCTTCAAGTTTAAACAGAATCCACAGTCAAATTTCGTTGGATTTTCTCAAAAGTTTAAATTAACCAGGTGCAGTCATGCAACAAAAATTGCTATTTCAAAATCCTTACAGACTTAAGATACCCCCCCCCCCACCAAAAAAAAGAAAATTAAAATTGTCGAATTATCCTTCGTTCCAGTGAGAAACATTTTTGTCGTGTTCAATAAAAACTCGAATTTTAAAGACAAACCGCAAAACGGAGGAATAGAAAACTTTCAGTGAATGTTGAGAGATGAAAATGTTACGATTGCCGCCGCAACTAGAAACGTGGGGGGGGTTGAGTTTGTTTGTGGTGGTGGTGGGTGGAATGTGTCATGGTGATAATAGCTGGTTGCAAGAGGAGGAGGAGGATGTGGTGGCACTTCAGGCAGCAGCAGCTGCTAACACGTTTTTACGCTTCACTTTTTGCTGTACTTAGGCGTCATTCGTAAAGAAAATAAAACAAGAGAAAACGGTACTGGGTGGGGTCCTGATTCGCCATCAATTCACAACACTGATGCAACAGAAAATCGCACTAAAATAAAATAAAACTTTCATTTAGGCATTTCATAATTTCTTCATAAACTGATACAAGGCCAGTTCATATGGGATAGCAAGTTTAAATTAAACTCTGTCCATCGTTCACCCGTTTAATATTTATTTGGAAGGTTAAGAAAGAAAGAAAGAAAGAAAGAAAGAAAGAAAATAATTTCCCGTCAGGTATATTTAACTTGGCCTCGCCTTAAACAAGATCGTTTTAACGTGGGGAGCGCCATACACCTATCTATGTATATGGGTAAGGATATTTATTTTTTTTTTGTCCAGTGCCCGTGACAACTATCATGTTGACATTGATATTACACCGACCCCCACTTCTTTTAGTGCAATAAAGGTGGTGTTCCCGCAGGGTTGGAATCTCCTCCAAGTGGCTGAAATAGATGCATACTTCGCACTGGTAACGGTGATCGGTTTTTAAGCCCAGGTAAAACCCAGGCCTTCGAATATCTATATTTAGAACACGAAGACCCTCCTCAATTAGACGACTGACGCAACATGATCTTCCCATTTCAATATCATCTTTTTCAGTTTTGTTCAGTGTATAGCAATATAATAGACTTGCCTCTTGGCTGAGTTGTTTATTTCCCTACAACGCCAGGGATTGTTGTTCGTGCTCTAGTAAAAAGATAAAATTTCACATGCTGATTTTCTTGGGAGTAGGTTCTCATCAATCAAAATAATGACGCAGCATGATCTTCCTATAATCATTCAATCAATTTAACTTTGTAAACAAAACTTTAAAAAAGATAAAAAGTTAACAACGCAAAAATGAAAAGAGAGAAAACAAAACAAACAAGAAAAAACTTCATAATCTAAAATAAATACTTACCTCATAGACGCTCGTAATATGAAGTCGATAAAGAATTGGTATATACACATAGGCAGCTAAAAACATCGACACAATGTACGCGAGGGTCATGTCCATAAACATTGTGTCAAAGTTGTAAATCTCAGCCGGCGTTCCCAGCAAGGTGATAGCTGACATGAAACTGGCCACTAATGAAAGTGCTGCTGGCCACACAGACATATTCCCACCGGCCAATAAATAAGATTTCGTTGTTTTCACGTTCCGATCTTTTATTGCATAAAATACTCCAATACCTGCAGAAACCAAAAGAGTGAAAGCAAAAAGGACATAGTCGACTGCGACGAACGACGCTACGCGCCCTGTTATATAACTGTATTCTTTCTCTTCGGCCATCGTCTTTTTTTCTTAAAGGCTTCTTTTGGGTTTTTTCACTTTCTTTCTCTGTGGGTGCACGCGTACTAATGTAAATGATAGAGAAAGAGTTTGTGTGTATATGGGAATGTTTTTAAAGTCCGGAAGTTGTGAAGTTCTGAAAGCAAACACGCGAAGTTTCACTCGATCGATAAATGAAATTGAACGGAAAACGAATCAAGCTGTTCTTAAGCCACGCGCAATCAATATTAAAATGAAAACATGGGTGACAATTGCCTAACGGGACCAAGGAAAACAAGGGCGCTTTTAGTAATCAACAAATTCCACTGATAAAGAAATTCAAAATCGTTTTTTTTTTCTGATGAGTTGTCCAAAATGATTCTAAGGTACTACTTGTCTCGCGAGGTGGATAACATCATGGGAAGCATTGGTGAATTCCTCAATACACGGCAGTTGTTATCGACGAAGTAGGCCAGTTCAGAGACGATTAACGTGTAGGTGTGTTGGGAATCAGCCAATGAAATGACAGAATTTCAAGCACACCACCATTTAACTAAGTGTACTTTCTTATATGCAGTGATGCACACACGCATGCAGGCGCACACAGTGAAAGGACGAGAAGGGAAGGGAGAGCCTCATATACATTTTGCATCAAGTGTCGCTTTCTTTGCAAATTCTAATATTAGGTCGCCAGGGTAGGGTGTTCTATTTTCATTCTCTCGTTCTTTTTCCTCTCGGAGTCGCAGAAGCATGCCTGACGTGGATAAATTTCCTTAAAGCAGACGCGAATATTAGATTAATAAACACACGTGTAAAACATTTACTGGGTTTGTCTATATGTGATCTTTGGTTGGTATCTATTCATACTGATATTTCCTAAGCTTCACTTTGTCTGGCAGATGGCCATAATTGTGGAACATCTCGTTAGAATAAAAATTTACTGACAATCGTCTGCGTGACTCGTTTGCTCTTACAGGGAGAGATTTAGATATATTTTACGCTTAACTGAATCACAAGACCACAACAGATGGACACTGAGCCTGATCAAATATCCTGCAATGGTGTGAAAAACTAAAAGAATTATGAATAGTTATTGATCTTAGCGTAGTCTGACACAAGGCTATATTAATGAAGCATTCGGTAATGAAATAAGCTCATAAGCAATAGAATGTTTTTTTTCTTACAGAGTTAACCAAAATATTTCCTAAAATAGCTTAGCTTATCATTAAGCTAATATGGCGATGACACCCAGTAAGGATCAAACTCACTATCATAAAGATGGATGGCGATAATTGCTGTTGAGACATTTTTGCTAGACTACACCAGTTTACGCTACTGGAAGATAACTCGCTAACAGTAATCTATAAGATTAGCTTCGACTTAAAGAGACACACAAGAATATCGTAGATTTTACAAGTTGTGTATTACAACTTTTCTTCTTCAGATATAAGTTATGTGTGCCAGATTTGACAAGAGTGCTCAAAACAAAAGCTTTACTTTTATATCGTTCACTGGCATCAAGCTGGCGAGAAGTAAGGAATCTCACTAACCTAGCAGTGAAATATGCATATTTGATCAGTAAGAGATAATGTTTCAAACTACCAATACTGAGTTAACTAGATGAATGCAAATTGAAATAGATAGATAGAAACAGACTGAGATAGATAGATAGATAGATAGATAGATAGATAGATAGATAGATAGATAGATAGATAGATAGATACGAACAGAGTGTGATAGATACGAACAAATTGAGATAGATAGATAGATAGATAGATAGATATGAACAGAGTGAGATAGATACGAACAAATTGAGATAGATAGATAGATAGATAGATAGATAGATACGAACAGAGTGAGATAGATACGAACAAATTCATAGATAGATAGATAGATAGATAGATAGATAGATACGAACAGAGTGAGATAGATACGAACAAATTGATAGATAGATAGATAGATAGATAGATAGATAGATAGATAGATAGATAGATAGATAGATAGATATGAACAGAGTGAGATAGATAGATACGAACAGAGTAAGATAGATAGATAGATAGATAGATAGATAGATAGATAGATAGATAGATAGATAGATAGAGAGTGAGATAGATAGATACGAACAGAGTAAGATGTGAGTTGTGTGAGGAAGATTGAAGACATGAAAATAAAATAAGGATATTCGACTCTATAATTTAGTGAATAATTCCTTAGCTGATATTTATGTCTGTACTTGAGGTTGCCCATAGTTTTCTTAAATCTATTATTGCCACCTATATAATTCCCTGTGACCTAAAAAGGGAAGTTTTGAATGCCAACAGCAGCTGACCTTTGAGTAGATATTCTCAGGCTTTTGAGCGAAATAAAACAAACAAACACGTGATCAACCCTAATCCAGAATCATCTTTGACGAGAAATTTGAATTAACAGGTGTTGACTTATCAAATAAACTAAAATCGTCACGTGTCGGTTAAGAAATCGATTTGGAGTTTGTCTTGCATTTCTTTAACTTTGATTCTAATAAATTGCAATATTTAATTTACAAACAAAACGGAAAAAAGTTATCATTTTTTTTCAATCTTATTAAATATTAAACAGCAAATTCACGGTGGTTAAATTTTAATCTGTTGCCAAATAAAAATAATAAAATGTCTTTCAATTGAAAACGGTCAATCCATCAAAACCTGGGGTATTTTTTCAAGCATAAAGTATTCATTTCTCATTGATATATATTGAAAAAAATGATTTATTTTTTTCGATTTAAAAATGTCCTTTCTTTATATCCCAGTGAATGTCTCAATCATTGAGCTCACATAATTCGGATTAATTATCAACTTGTAAAAATCTTTTCTATATCTACATAAACAGTATAAACTGATTTCTTAGTCAATCATTTTTTTTTCTTTCCGTAAATAAAAAACGGTTAATTGATTTGTCTAGATTCAAGAAATTCCAAAAAGAGAATAGAAAGATTTTTTTCAAATCTCTGATATTTAAAAATCGTATATGAGTATGAACAACAACACTACTCATAAAGGACTAAACTGAACATTAATCCGAAGTTATATATTCACTGGTTTTTATGAAAGATATATATCCAAGAACAATTGGAATTAGTAAAACGTTGATGAGAGTTATAATGGACAGGAAGTAGTGGAGAGCCATTGTCGTCAACAATTTGGACTCAAAACCGGCACTGAAGAATTATCTATCAAACAAAAAAAATAATTGAAATCGGCTAAAAACTGTGGAAATGCATAAACAACATCCGATCATACTTACATACATACATACACACACACGCATTTTGAGAATCTTACTTATTATAAAACGCAGATTGTGTGTGTGTGTGTCTGTAACGTTTATATATTGGCTCGGATTTTCTACATTTTTTAACCGATTTCAACAAAACTTCACAGGACTACGTAAAATTACCTTGCGGTGGTTCTAACAGCGCCAAAAATTGGAAAAACACAATTGTTTGCACGAAATCAATTTGAAAACACGATTAAGAGGCATTAATGAAAGGGGGACAACTCACTTCGGGTTAAAAACCCAAGTTGTGTGTGTGCGTGTGTGTGTTCGTTTATATATGGGATCGGATTTCCTACATTTTTCAGCCGATTTCAACAAAACTTCACTTTTTTTGGCAGGTAGTGTTTCTTATTGTCTTGCACACTTTTTTCTTTATTTTTACATTCAGAATGCTTTAAAAATTCCATTTACAAAACAATTGTTTATAATAAAATCCTATTCAATCGGTAGACTCATAACGATTGAAAACAATGTTTTTGTTTGAGTTTGGGTTTGACCAATTCATAAAAAAAAAATAATAATAATAATTAAGACATGCGTGTCCGTCAACCTTAAACAAATAATCTTTGTCAATTTTATTTTTCAGTCTTTATGATGCTCGATACTTGATCAATCTCTTACTGTTACATCCCCGGGCAACGCCGGGCTCTACTGCTAGTTATAGATATAGATACAGTTCTTACATTAATACTAGGTAGAGGGCAACGGAAATCCTAGACAGAGACACACAGACATTCTACTTCTCTAATAAATGAGGTAACGCAAACCATGCGGCTTTTACCTTAACACTGGATTATCTCATTCCCTCTGATAGGAGAAGTCATGAGTGTGACCAATAAATTTAGAAAGTCATATTTTGTTTCATAGAATAGATATTTATTGCTACCCAAAAGTTACATGAATTTGACGAAGGCAAATCTACTTTCGACCTTCTTTTTCGAAGATTCATATCACATGTAGCAAAAAGGCTCAAGTATAAAAGGTAAAAGTTTGTATTACATCCGCTTGATGTGCACTGTTTAAAGTCCCTGAACTTTTGGATAGCAACTCAAAACGGCGCGCAGGGTAGCAAATTGATCTCGCTGAATTATTTGTAGCGAGTTTTATTTTCACTCTGTGCCCTACACTTGTAGTCTTGTACCAAAGTTAAATGTTATTTAGCAAATAATTCTATGCTCACACACGTGGTTCTTGTCTCTTTCAAAGCAAGCTTGATATGTATATTCGGAAATGGGGGAGGAGTAAGAGGGGGGATTATTTATTTCATAAAACGAACAAATATATTACGCAAGAATAAATCGTGTCAATAGCAGAATTTTTGTCAGGAATAGTAATTCCACTTATGTTTGGGAAAGTTTTGCACCAACATGAAGCGACAGTTTGCGAATTCTTCCGAAAGCATGTATGGCATCAAGTGATCAAAAAATGAAGGAAAAAAAGAATTTGATTTTTTGGGGTATTTTTTTTTTCTTTGTTGGAGGGATGTTACGAAAATATGACACGTGACTGGTTTTATGTCTTAAATGAGGGAAGCACAAGATGAGAGGAGAATAAAGATTCATTCTTTCATGGGTAACAACTTCACAGTGCCAAAATTCTCAGCAGCGTGACAATTGATTCCTTCATACCTCTCACACACACACGCACCCACACACGCGCACCCATTCGCACACACACACACGTGCACACACACGCACACGCACGCACACATACACATACACACACACACACACACACACCAGAAGAGAGACATGAAAGCACGCACCTATGCGACTGTTCATATTCGATCGGGGTGGCGATTGCTTACACAAAGAGTGGCATGTGTTATTATTTAAATATCATTATCGTTACATATCTAGTGAGAGAAAGCACTAACACACGCACACACACACGCACGCACACACACGCACGCACATACATATCTTGTTAAGCCTTCATTCCGTTGAATGGAAGATACTAAAATCATGAAATCTTATGTCGTTTGAAGTCGACGTAGTCTTACTGAATTCTCTAGTAACGATATAAGGATCGCTAGCTCGCTGTTGATCTGCTGATGATTCTTGCCGTCAGTATATATTCTATTTGGACAACTCCAAGTCATATTCCGGAAAGGTGTGTTCATCTCCACCCACCCCCACTTTTTAGATATGCACTTTCTTTAGTCGATACTTTTTCCGACATGGGTCCCACTCCTAACATTTCAGTCGGATTACGTTTTCGCTTAGCTTTGGCCTTGTATTGTAATATTAGTTTCAGGAACAGGCACTTCCATTTACACTGTAACATTGCCGTACATGTCTCTATGAGGTTCTAACCTAGGACACTGAATGGCCACTCTTTCTAATGTTCCGAGCAAATTTCAAACAGGAATCTGAAATGTTCCTCAACGGTATTTCTGATTGGACGAAAATATTAATGATATTTTTGCCGCCGATTTAGCCAGCAGATTTTGATGTTTCAATTGATTTTGCTTCTAAAATAGACTTTGATTCCTGGTCTTTCCCAAATACAATGTATTTGTAGAGGAATTGACCATGGTTTAATATAATTGACAGAAATGCCCATCAAGCAGATTTAACAAAGTTTGTAATAAACAATAAGATAACAATATATATATATATATATATATATATATATATATATATATATATATCCAAGTATAGGATTGGTGTATACTGAATAAATTCTAACAACCAATAAATACTATTCTTAAAAGAGTGCTCAATACAGAGTAGAGGAAATATAATTATTTAATCGAAAATTATAACATAAATATGTTATAAAATCACTACAAAAATAGCCATTTTGTTTCAACACTTCTGGTGTCTTAGCAAGTAATTATGTTGAAAAGGCTTAATTATAACCATGGAATAATAGTGTTTGAGCATTTTATATTGTATTCTTACTCTGTCCTGGACATTGAGTTCTACCTGAATTCTATCCTCTTGGGAATTTATATATATATATATATATATATATATATATATATATATATATATATATATACATATATATTATCAACATCTCTCTCTTTCTCTCTCTATATATATAAATATATATATATATATATATATATATACAAATAAGTTTGGTTAAATATAAAAAAAAATTAAATTGCAAACAATATACTATGAAATTGTATTTACAAAAGTCATGAAAAGGTTTTTCCAGTTTATTATGCGTTTCAAGGCAAAAGAACAGCAATAAGACAAAATGGGGGAATACAGACAGGCGATCACATCATCTGACTTCAAATTTGTTGAGACCAGTGTTGATGACGACTCCCACGCATGCGCACAAAATGGGAGATAGGGAACATCGTTCTGAATTTTAGAAATTTTTTTGGACTATCTAAATAAGTTTGGCAGGCAAATATAAAAAAAATTAAATTGCAGACAGAACCCCACGTTCTGTGGGCAACAAAGGACAAATTAAATCGGATGAGACCGAGTCCTATCAAACAAGAACAAATTTAGTCCGAGGGAGAGATACAGAAATGGAAACGCGGATGAAAAAAGTAAGCTTTTTCCAGTTTGTCATACATTTTCCCCAATAAACAAACAAAAAAAAAAATCGAAGACCGAGTGGGACTAAAAAAGATAATATTGAGCAAGGCAAAAGAACAGCAATAAGACAAAATGGGGGAATACAGACAGGCGATCACATCGTTCTGACTTCAAGACAACAAAGGACAAAATTAAATCGGATGAGACCGACGAGGAAGATATCCCAGCATGGATCTGTCTTTTTGACGAAAATGGGGAAGATGGGCGACCACATCGTATCCCAACAAAGCATGCATCTGTATGTTTTATTGCCACACAAAATGGGAGATACAGATGGGCGAT